CCAGGAGGCGACCAAGACTCCTGGATGCAGCACTGCAGACCCAGGGGACATCACAGAATCCCAGAATGGTTAAGGTTGGAAGGGACCTCTAGAGACCATCTAGTCCAACCCCCTGCTCCAGCAGGGACACCCAGAGCACGGGGCACAGGGCGGCATCCAGGCGGGTTTGGAAGACCTCCAGAGAAGGAGACTCCACAGCCTCCCTGGGCAGCCTGTGCCAGGGCTCTGTCACCCTCACAGTGAAGAAGTTCTTCCTCACATGGAGATGGAGCTGCCTGTGTTTCAACACAGCGACATTGACATGTGTGAACATTGCCCCACACTTTCTTCAGTGTGATGGCAATGCCTTCCTCAGGTCCCTAGAGCAGCCCAGAAATACCATAACTCTCTCCCCACACACAAAAGGGCAATTCCTGCAGCAGAGCAGACCAAACACAAACGGAAGGACGGTGAAAGCACCGCTCTATTCGATGGTGATCGATTCGTACCATGGTGCTACTCGAGCTTCTGCCCCTGAACTACCTCAGAGGAGAGCCACTTCCTGGTTTAAGAAAGCAAGGAAAACCAATTCCAGGCAAAGACGGCAACCGCCAAGGAAGCGACTTGACTTACCAAAAGTTCAACCGTGACTATCAATCGGATCTTTACTTCTACACAAAACCAAACAGACCAAAAGGAACACAGCCAAAATATAACTAGAATCATGTAATCACCTAAAAAACAGGATAGTTTCTGTTGTGTTTAAACCCATTGCTTTCAAGAAAGTATTTACACAGCTGACATGTAGGAGTTCCCTCAAGTATTCCCGCAATCCTTGTCCCCTTTCTGCAGGAATTACTTGGAAAAATACAGTAGAAAGGCAATCGCACGTTGCCTCCCTGATCTTCAGCAGGACCCCAAAGGGTTGCTGCCCACACCTCTATCCCATTGCAGTACTGACTTGTGCCTACTCCGTGGCAACAAGCGTGAACAGTTCTTGCCAGCTCCACAATTAACCAAAACTTACCCTGGTGCATTACTTAAAAAAGAAAAAAAAAAAAATCTATCTCTACATTGAAGATATTAGTGCATGCCTTGACCTGCATATGCCATTTGCTTCCTAGCAGGACAGAAGGAAAGCTCAGTTCTTGATGCCCTTTGAAATCTGGCTTCCTTTCTAAAGGCTCGGGATGTGCCATCCCAGGCCTTCAAAGCATTAAAGCTAAGATGCACTTCCATTTACAGATGAAATTAATAGAAGCCTTCAGAGACTTTGCATCCCAGACAAGAGATCACATAATAAAAAGTATTTAATTAAAGCTTTTATTCTCAACTATGATTTAAAAAAAAAGAAAAAATAAAACCAACAAAAACCACTTTCATTTTGTTAAGATTTGGAAAAAACTCATTCTTCCTTTGGAGATGCTATTTCAATGCCTGTACACTTCTAATAGCAGTTCTATAGATGCACTAACTCTCATAATTTCAAGGAAGTCCCTTCTACGGATTCCCGTTATGCTACTGTGATTGACACTGAGTCATCCCTAACACTGCTCAGGTTTGTTTCGGTTGAGCTGTTCACAGACCTTCAAAATCCCTTTTGTATATATTTTTACTCTGGCTGTGCCGAATTCAAACTGACAGTGTAAAGAAAATATTTTCTACCTGAACATCTTTCATATCCTAAAGTTACACAATCCCAGAACTGTTGAGGTTGGTTAAGGGACCCCTAGGGATCATCTAGTCCAACCCCCCTGCTCCAGCAGGGACACCCAGAGCACGGGGCACAGGGAGCCATCCAGGCGGGTTTGGAAGACCTCCAGAGCAGGAGACTCCGCAGCCTTCTTGGGCAGCCTGTGCCAGGGCTCTGGCACCCTCACAGGGAAGAAGTTCTTCCTCACACGGAGATGGAACTGCCTGTGTTTCAACTTATACCCCTAAGTTCAGCCAAAAGGCTAAGTGGTAGGGATATCCTGGGGTTTTCCATTGATTTATCTTTATGGCTGAAGCTCTGGAGCAGGGAAGAAAAAACAACTGGAGTCTTTTGGAACAAGAGTTTCTTTCCTCTTTATTTTTTATTTTTCTTTTCCTCTTGCTCAAAAGCACAAGACTTCAGCCTGCAGCCCTTCCCCGTACATCAGGGACTGATGGGGTTGATCATCAGCAGCCGTGACGAGCTGCATCTCATGGGGCTCCAGTGGCAGCTCTCTGGGTAGGACAGACCCCGCAGGCAGCCGCCTGTGAGTCACCGGCCCCTGGGTGCTGACCAGCCTGTTCCTAGGACTCAAGAGCTTGAAGAGGCCTTTGCTGAAGCGCCAAGACCCGGAGGGAAAAGCAATGAGAAATGCACGGCCACCGGGTAAGCAATTCCTGCCCATCAGATAAACAATCATCCCTGGATATAGCTGCATTAAAAACCAACATCAGGGAACCTGTGACTAACAAAGCTCAAGTATCACAGCATGCTTCCCATCTAAGTAGCTTCAGTAATAGCTGCTAGTTCTTGCAGACAGCAAAGGCATTTTGCCACCAGGATCTCATCAAGATGCTGCTCCGAAAAACAGCCCCTTTTAGTCACGGTGCATCCCTCTGCCTCCTGCTTCTCACCACCAGTGCTGGGGAAGCAGCCTGTCCTCCTCCTGCGCACACACGCCTGCCTGTGGAGCACGGCCCTCTCCAAAAGCCCCCCTGGCTTTGCTGTAAGGAAGCACTCTGCACAGCAGTGTATTTTTACCATGAAGTACTAAGCCACATCACCTGGCCCTCTGCCATCACACAAAGTCCGTGCTTCCCCTCCTGCGTACAGGAAGAGGTTGTTCCAGCTGTGCTGTGTATCTGCTTGGGAGCATCTCTCCCTCTTTCCAAGATACATTAGCAACAGAAAAGCAACACAAAGCAAACATTTTTTTTCTGGTCTGTGCCCTCTGCCCATCTTTAAAAGGCATCAGATCCAACTTGACATTTCTGAATTGACTTGCACAAACGTGAGTTCCTCTGCCAGTTTCTGGCTTCAGTGCTTTACTCCACACTTCCCTAAAATCTGAAGCATAAAAGCACATAGAAAGGTAAAATCAACTGCATTAGGATAACTCTAATTTTAAATTCCTATAGCTCCATGTAATGCCAAGAAAACCTAGCTAGAACAAATGTTACATAAAGACATGATCTAAGAAACCAAAGCACTCTGACAGAAGTTCTCTGATTGCTGTGACTGCTAATAAACTTTTTAGTATTATTGTTACAAGCATCTTGATGCTAAAAGAAGCTTCAAATGAAGTGGTCACATCAATCACGAGGCCTAAGAGACCACGGTTCCCGAATACCTCAGTAGCTGCAGTAACTGGCTAAAAGCTTGACAGGTGGAAAGGTCTACACACAACACAAACTAGGCAGGCCTGTCAATCGGGGTTCATGCAGCCTGTGCACATCAAGCTTTTCACAATGGAACGGGCAGTTTGCGAAGGCGTCACTTTTTTTTCAGTTGCAAACTAACAACAATTCAGAATTTTGGACCTTGGTACCTGGCAGTGTCATTTTCCGAAATTTGCAATGACACAAATCCACCCTTTTTAAAATCCCAGCCTTTGACAAACACGCCACAGCCAAAATTTGCACGCAGGAAGCGACGTGAAGTGAAACTGGAACTGAAGATTACTGAACAAATCAGCAGATCCCTCCAGTGAAGACATGGCAGGTCCTGCACATCACTGAAAACCAGGCTCAGAACACATCCTTGTCACAGAGAAAAACTCAAAGCAAGTGTTGAAGCTTGGAGAAAGGTGGGTTTTTGGCAAAGCCCACTGAAGCTGCACACGTTCAGCAAAGAAAGTGATAAAATAAATACTGCAAGAGCAACAGCTTACCTGTGGGCAGTGCCAAGCACCTTGCTTCCTCACCACCCAGATGCTGGGAAAAAAAGAGGGATACTCCAAGCTCTGTGCGCATGGTGAATGTCAATGCCGACACAGGAAGATGTCAGAACAATTGTCTTCAGAACAATTAAATTATAACCACCTCCTTCCCCTCTGTTATGGTTTGGCACCATGACCACGTGGGTTGGCTGCCGGGGTCAGGCTACGGAGCATAGCAGGTATTTCTGAAAGCTCAAACTCACTTGCCCATGCAGTCGTGCAAGGCCAAACAGCTTCAGATGCTAAAGGAAAATAAGATTGCCCTGACAGATCTTTTCGTGCCTGTCATATATCTTTGGCTGAGAAGACGCGAGGACTCGACCTGGAAGTGGTGTCTAAAAAGAGAAAAGATAGAACATCCTCGTGCTCAATGGGAAACCCACACCAGAGAGTCAGGCCACCTGGTCCAAAAGTTAAACACAAGCAAACAGCTCATATCACAAGGGAAAAGAGGAACTGGGAACTATGGAAATTAAGTAATTTATTCAGGAACCCAGATAAAAATGCAGATATCCATAAGCCATATGAAAAGCACCTGCATTTCACATGCTGACCAGCATACTGCTCCTGAAAATCCATCCTAACACACTTATTCTTTACCCATTGCCTTCAAAACTTCAGAAATATTTCATACACACAAAACCCTACAAAACCGCAGCTTTTTTTCTCCTACTGCATGATCACAATTCATGTCATAATTAAATTATTCTTCCAGCAGTAAAGACCTCAGTATTCCCAAGGAATAAACTTGAGCAGCTGGAAAGTCATTTTCTGAGCCTCAAAACTAAGACATGTCATTTCCTCCTGCCTCGCACACCTCACCTCTTTCATCACTCCCAGTAACGGCAGCGGATCAAAGGGTGGAAGGGGGAATAACTGCACGAATCTGCACAGAACAGGAGAGAGAACAGCGAGCACCGCAGGAGCTCGGCCAGGGAAACCTGCTGCTGCGGAACATGGAAGCATCGCCCCAGTGCCAGTAAATAAGCAAACATATATCACAAAACGTGCATCAGAAAAGCTGACTTGCAGGACCTGGACCTGTTGAGGTCCTGTTCACTCTAACCTAGGAGCTCTCCGCACGAAGGGACGTCCGACACCAAGCGCTACCTGCAGCCCGGGAGTAACTCGGAAAGGAAACAGGTCCGTCTTCCTGCCTACAGCTTCGGAGCCCCTTCTCCTTGCAGCTCACCCCTGCTTGGTGGTCATGTTCTTGTCTTCGTGGGGGAAAAGAAAAATACATTGACAACGATGTTCAATATTGCATTCCAAACGGTAAGTGAAAAATAACAATAGAAAAGCACACCTGCTATGAAAATGAACCACATGCTGCTGTTTTTTTAAACCACAACGCTCTCCTGGTCCATTAATGCTATTAGAGCAGAAACTTCAGAATACATAAGCTTCCAGACAATAAGATAAGGAGCTCTCTCATACATATTTATATATTACATACACACACACATGCATATATATACACATATTTACATATACACACACATATATATATATGTATAAATCACTTGCCATGCCCGGCACGGGGCAGGCGCGCTGCACTGCCCCTCACCAGCGCCCCTCTTTTCTCTTTACACCCAAAGGAGAGTCACAGCCCCAAACCCCCCGCTCCGCGGCAGCCCGCGGGAAACCCGCCGGGGATTCTAGCTAGCGTCTGACTGCTTCGGCAAAGCAGCTCCAAAAGCTCCTGGGGAAAACAAACAACAACAGACACCGGGGAGAATAAATAACAACAGATGCATACGAGGCAAACCCCAGGACTCGCCGCGCAGCCCCGCGCAGCTCCCGCGCTCCCCTGCGCCCCGCGCAGCCCCGCGCAGCCCCGCGCTCCCCGTTCACCTGCGCCCCGCGCAGCCCCGCGCCCGGCGCCGTCCCCGGGGCTGCGGGGCTGCCCGCGGGCCGCCCTCGGGCAGC